CTTAAACATGTTTGAAGTGGCCGCTCACATTGGCAGAAAATGGGAACGTAAGGAGGTACCATTGGAAACGGACTTCGAATCGTACCCCGCCACTGAGAGCACCGTATCCAGCCCTAACCCCGTCTCCTCCTCAGCGGAGTACGATAATGGGTAGGTTTCTTAGGTATCATTCGATTATATGCGTATTTTCAACTATACGCTTGGGTTGATATAGTTATATGTTGAGTTGAGGCATTATATGGATATAAATATAATAGATCCTTAGGGTTTAATGTGAAACCCTTACGATATGTTACTAACTCGTGGTTGGCTCTTGGATTATGGAACATCTTAGTGTTCGGATCACAATGGTTTTTGGCCTTGTGCATTCTGGACTTATATTTCTTGAGTTATGGATTGTGAAGTCGATGTCATTTCTGAAAGTGGAATAATGCATGATGAATCAGATGGTTGTCCATATGCTAAAGTGTAAATATATTAATCTCCATTTATGTGTTTACTTCATATTAAAATTTCATGAATTTTAGAGATCATATACTAGGGTAAATGATTAGTTTCTTATACTTGAAAATAATGTGTTGTCTTTAACTTGAGGTAGAATTTGTTACATAGTTGATCTTGAATCGTTCATTTGACAGTCAATAAATCCATGCTCATTTATGTTGAAACCTTGTATAAATTTGTAAACTCTAAATGCTTCATTAGTAAGGCTGAAACTTGGTGAAATTTCTTTCATCGGGTTCTAATATGTGTCTCCCCATGCTTGATGTAGAGTCGAGTAGAAATGTTCCATAACTCCATGAGAACTTTCCACGAGCCACTTAGTCGATGAGTTTTGACTAAGTTTGTGTGTTTGTTGGAATTGATTGTAATCGAGAGGCTATCTTGATTTCGTGTAGGTGTTTTGAGGTGTTGACCTCACCGCTTACTCGAGCCTCGCTTTATGTTTGTTGCTGCCTTCCAGGTGGGTTTACTTATAAAATTATCTATGCCATACGTGTGTTTAAGTGTTTGGTTGGTATAATCAATGTATGCATGTGAACCATGTAGCCTACTGATGTGAGGTGTTACGGCCGTCGGTACGGTTGTCCCCGTCGAGTTACGGTACGGTTGCCCTTGCGAGGCAAGTCTCCTTAGACCTAATGAAAGGTCGTGTCCGTTACAGTGGCACGCACTCCCGTCGTTAGGGTTTATGCATCCTTTTTCCGCGGCTAATGATAGATATGCACATGAGTGAGTTATTGTTGTGATTATTAGGAGACGAGACATGATGATGATTGATTTATATTCATACTGCGACCATACCATCTTTTATATTATTTATGTGCATAGTGGTGAGCACGCTTTTCATCTAGTGCTCATCCCCACCTGCTCTTCACCGATGCAGGTTAAGCAGGAGTTGGGTGACGAGAAGAGGCGAGTGGGTCGGTCATTTTATTTACTGCTTCCGTATGAATAAATAAGGCTTTATGGATGTAACATCCCGCTTTTCGTACATTGAATTTCTAGAACAAATTTTTCTTTCTATAAAACTTCTGAAAACTTTACTTGGAACTCAGGGTGCTACTCACTTTGAAAAACTTTTCATACATGATCTTTTCATAAACATTAAAACTTTTCATGAACATAAACATTTCATACATGAACATTCATTGCGTTGCCTGGAGAACTTACACTTTAACTTTACTTGCATGAACCATGACTTATTTCATAAAATAAACTTTGCATAGCGGAAGCTTTTAAAACATAAATATCATAAACATATAAACATGTGACCACCCTCGCCATCGCTCTATTGCCAGATCGCCAAAACCTGGGTGTGGAAAACAAATGGGGTGAGCATTTCCACTTACTCCGTGAGAGATACCTCTACGTTATCATCCTAATCAATTATAAAGCATGAAATCGTTTTCGTATACTCCACATAATCATGAGCTCCCGACGAGTGGTGACCCACAAGTCGAAAGACTTTCTTGC